CAGGATCCCTCTTTCCCAGTAAAGGGCAGGGGCCATCCCTCCCCAGAGAGTGGAAACTTCCCAAAGTCCCTCTGACCTGACGGGAGGGTGGAAAGAACAGGAATTTCTGCCATGGTACACCAATCCGGAGCCAGGGGCTGAGAGCTGAAATCCCAGGGTTTGCCAAGGCCATTCCACCAGGCCCTTGCGGCACCGCACCTGCCCCCGGGGACCTGCATGAAGACAGGGGCCATCCCAGGCGCCCAGGTTCTTAGAGGACTGAAAGTTGGCAAGGTCAAGGGAACAGAGCACAATGGAGGTGGCAAATCAGAGAGTTGGGATGGTTGGAGCTGAACAGAAGAGCAGCCGCAGACTCTTCTTTTCAAATGAAATCCACAGCACATTCTGCTCCCCAACTGCACCAACCCACAGTCACCAGCAGGCCCCAGAGGAGCAGGGAGGCTGAGACAGAAAAGCAGCCTGACAGCCAGGAGCCGGCCCGGCCCTCACAGCTGGGCCCCGTGGTCTTCTGATGAAGTCGAACAATTTCACAGAATATCAGCGTCAGACAAGGCACGCTGTGACCACGATGGGTCAAGACAGATCCAGACCACCGGTAGCTACGGCTGAGCAGAGCAAACAGGAACATTGTCCTAATTACGTCAGGGACCACACGACCCTCTCCTGGCTGGAGCATGACTGCTGCTTCTTTGCCAATTGCATCCTTAGCTTGGTCTCCTACGTAGGATTGATTAAGATGCCCCACCATGGATTAGCCCTGCTTCCCAGCAGCATCCAATCTGGAGCCCACTTCCTCAGACCTGCCCCCAAGTCACCTCACACAAGCCCAAATCCCATATAAGTCCTTTCTCACACCCTCTTACAGAGACACCTCATAGATCGCATGGGGTTTCTCCCCTCATTGCAATGAGCAACAAACCCCACTATTAACCACAGACGAGCTACTGGTGTTCCTCACCTGCAGGGCACCAGCAGATGGATCTCATCAGATCCCCCCACCCCCGCGCCGCCCCACCCGGCCCGTCGCCACCACCACCTAACCCTGCAAAAGGCAAAGCCCAGGATCCGTCACCTCCCTCCCACAGGTGAGGAAAGTGAGGTCCAAGCCCAAGGTCACAGAGTAGGGTAAACATGTAGTTGATCGTCCCAAGGGGATACTTTCGAGGGTGAAAGGACGCACTACTACTAACTAGGCAGGGACAGTGGGCCTAAACCAGGACTGTCCCGGGCAGGCCAGGTGAGTGGTCTCCCAATCAAGCAGCAAGAAAGCGGGGGAGCTGGATGGGGGTCGAAGCCTGGCCCGGCCATCTCTGTCCCTGCGCCCTCCCAGGGACAGGCTTCTCTCTGTGGACGGGCCTGGCAGCCAGAGACCCCCTGGTTCTCTGCTGATGTCTGGGGGTGCCCTGCAGTGTGATGCCTAGGTGTGGGCCACACCCAAGTTTCCACACACACAGCTGTCCCAGCCGGCTATGCCACTGTGTTTGGTGTTGGCTTTCCAGAGAGTTCCCTCAACTCTCTGGATGCCTCGTTTATCCTGCCCAGAGGGGGACTGGGGGCGTGGGAGGGGTTCACATACAAGAATTTGCGGGTGAATGAAGGTGACCGCCTTAAACACTGAAAACTTTTTTATTTTAGCCTTTCACACTGGTGTTCTTTCTGATGCGGGTCACCCCTTCCCTGCGTGAGTGAGCTGAGCGCAGGAACGGGCCGTGAGGGAACATCTGTTACAGCAGAGGCTTTCCTGCAGGAGGTAGCAATGACCCAGAAAGAAGAGGGAGGGGGTCCCAGGGCTGTGCCCTTCCCTTGGCCGTGACCCCAGCCCTGACCCAGAGACCTAGCCCAGGTGAAGGCCAGCCCTCCCGGAGGCCCAGGTTGCAAGCTCTGAACGTGGGGACGTGGGCTGAGGCAGTGCCACCATCCCTTTGATGGGGCCCAGAGGGGCTTTGCAGAGATCAGCCTAAGAAAAGCGTCACTCGGTGATGCCACCATACGGCGATACCTCCAGGGGCTGCTCAGGCAGCTGGAGCTATTTGTCCCTGCGCTCGATGGCCCCAACGGTTGTGTGAGTGTCACTCTGCTGCCTCTGGTGTGACAATTTTTAACTCCTCTGTTCCCACCTCAGTTTCTGCTCTGCACTCTGCGCTAACTTACAAGACACCAGGCTCAGTGGACTGGGAGCCCTTCGAGGGTGAGAACTGTCATCAGTTTGTGTCTCTTTCCTCCTAAAGATCCCAGCTTAGCGTCTGGCACACAGTAGATGCTCAGTAAATGCCACCTGAACCAAATTATTTAAGTCAGGAGTCTGAGACTCAGGGAAGTGGGGGCGGCAGGATTCCCTGCAAAAGGCTCGAGGGTTCTGGTCACTTCTGTACATGCTCAGTGACCACCAGCTGGGCACAGGAGAGACCGAGGTGAGTAAAGCAAAGGTGCTGACCTTGAGCAAGCAGCCATGCTCCATGATGAATGCGCAAGGCCCAGAGATGGCCCAGGGGTGGCACACGGGAGCCAGGACTAACTCGGCCCGGTGACATCAGGAAAAGCCTTCAGAAGAGAGATGTCTGTGCAGAGGTTTGAAGGATGAGCCTGAATTTGCCAGGCAGACAGGGGACAAAGGGCATCCGGGCAGGGGAGACAGCTTGGCAAGGGCATGGGGCAGTAGGGTGAGCGTGGGGTGGGGCTGACCAGGGAGAAAGCTGGGAGGTCAGCAGAGGTCACTCATGGAAGGTGTTGGATCCCAGAGCTACAGGAGCCACAGGAGGGATGCGGGCCGGGGACGTTACGTCTGAGTGAAAACAAATCACGCCATCCCCCGGCTGGACTAAAAGACGCAACAGGAACGAGAACCCTGAGAGGCCTTCACAGAGGATCGGGGACACGGGGGTAGCACCCAGGAGGGTTCCTGTTCACAGACCAGCTCTTGGGGGAGGCAAAAAGGGCTCTTGAGGGCCCTGGCTGCTGCAGATCTTCTCAACTAATCATATTTTACCTTCAAAGCTTTACAAAAAGTATTAATAATTGGAACAGCAATGGCCCAGTAATGTAATCATCTCCTCCCTGTGCATTTCTGTGCAGCTCTCAAAATGCTCTCGGGTCCACTGTCTCCTGTGAACCTCCATCTAACCCCATTTTGCAGGTAGTGAAATTGAAGTCCTGTGTGGTCACAGCGGGATTAGCCCCGGAGCCAGGCTAAAACCCAGGGAGCAGTTCCATGTCAGCCCTGGGCGTCGGGCTCAAAGCCCAGTTCCTTGTCCGGAAGGGGGTCCCCAGGGCTGTCGGGAAGCCCGTAGTACAAGTCTTCCTCTTCCTGTTCCAGCTCCTCTGTACCTGCGTCCGAAGCCTCCTCTTCCTCCTGCTTTGTCCTCAAGGGTCTCTGCCAGGAGCTGGGCAGGGCTGCCACGTGTAGCTGCTTCTCTGGAGGCACATCCTCCAACGCTGGGGCATCAATGAGGGCAAAGTCATGGAAGCAGTCCGGCCGGCACCTGCAAGCCTGGGGCTCCACCCCCTCAGATGGTGCCAGATTGGGGCTGCTGTCCTCACTGGAGCCCACGTCCAGGTCATCTTGGAAGGAAGCCAAGGGTGCAGGGCCCTGGGGACAGGTCGGGGGGCTGCAGGGGCAAAGGCGGAAAGGGCGAGGGTAGCTCTGAGTCAGACTGCCTGGGTCCAAATCCTACCCACTAGCTGCAAGGCCCAGGGTAGGTGAGTTCACCTGTCTGAGCCTCAGTTCCCTCCTCTGTAAAATGGGGGAAATAATAGCATTCACTACTATGTTTATCCCTGAGATTTACAACAGATAATGAACGCAAAGCACTTTGCACAAGGCCTGGCACATAGTAGGTGCTCAAGAAATGGGCCTTTATTATGTTATCCAAACGAGGTCACTCCTCTGCCTCTCCAATCACTTGGCGGTCTCCTCTGGGCCCACAATCCCTGTCACACTGGGTGTCACCTTCTGTTCCCTTGTGTGCCTCCCCCAGTGGACGAGGAGCTCCCGCAGGGTAGGGGCTGTCAAGGGCTGGCAGGGAGTAGGTACCCAGTAATGCTGGTGGATGAGTGACAACGTGGATGAATGAGGAACCCAGTTCATGAACAGCTGGGGACAGGGTGGGACGGGGAGTGCCCTGACTGAGGTCACAGAGCACATCAGTGGCAGAGCCTTGATTTGAACTCAGGTCCTCTGGCTCCCTGCCCTGGCCCCTCATGGTGAGTATTCGGACAACTCTGAGGTAGGACCGATTATTCCCATGTGGGGAAACTGAGGCTCAGGAAGGTGAGGAAAATCCGAAGTTTACAGAGCAGAGGAGCTGGGATTTAAACTCAGGCCCATCTAAGCCGAGACCCCTGTGTCTGCTACCCCTGCTGCTTCTCAGGGTGTCCCCAGCCTCTCTACTCCCCAGTGTCCCCAGCCACCTCTCAGTGGCCACACCCCTCCTCCTTCACCCCAGTGCCCCTTCGCTCCGTGCACTCACCCGGGCCTGCCCTGACTTGGGTCTCTTTCTCCCTCGTCCTGGTCCGAGCCCCTGTGGATGACCACGGCAGCTTCCAACAAGGCCTGAGGGTCGCGAGGGCCACCTTCTCCTCCATCGCTGGCTCCTGGCTGTGGCCGTCCCGGCTTAGGAGCCAGGACGGGGTGGGAGTCTTCACTGTAGCCCATGACCTTCATCTGCATGTGGCTGAAGTCCGGCAGGCTCTGGTCGTAGGCGGCTTCCTCCCACAGCCTGACGTAGGGGGTCCGGGGGCTGGGCGGGGGCACAGCAGACAGCGGGAGAGAGAACAGGCAGGTAGGCAAAGATTCAATTAATAGACGTCAGTGCCATCCCCTGGCCCGCCTGCTCCGCGCACCGGCTCTCCCCCGATCTCAGAGAAGCCTCTGCGGGTGGTTACTGTACCCAGTTCATTGATGAGGAGACTGAGGCCCAACAAGTTAAGTTGAGTGGCAGAGCTCAGACCCTCAGTCCAGTGTTCCTTTCACCCGTGTCTCCAAAGTTAACTCCAAGGTTGCGGCTGTCAAATGAAGACCAGCTCGCGTTGACTGAGCGTTTGCTGGGTTCCAGACGGTGGCCTGAAGCCTTTACATATATCATCCCATTTATTCTGAACGATATCTTGAAGCAGAATGGTCCTTCCCGCTTTTCAGATGAGGACAGAGCAACAGTAAGAACCAGCTACTGAGTGTTCCTTGCAGGCCGGGCTCTATCAGTTAGCTCATCTAACCCTCCCTGTAACTCTGGGAGACACTGGAGGAAGCTGAGGCACTGACACCTTAGCTGGCTTGCCCAGGTGGTGCAGACCTAGGGGGTGGTACTGGGGCTCCAAGCACCACTTTCTCCACTGCTCTCTACAGTCCAGGGCTGGGAGCAGCAGGGAAGAGCACAGGCTCAGGGTGACCTGAGCCCCAGCTCTGTTCTAGCAGCTCTCCCTGTGTGACCAGTCCTGAGTCTGGCCCCCACACCCACCCACCCAGGTCTGGTCTGGTGTTGACTCCCCGTGAGGTTTGGGGCTTGTGATTGCACTTCTTGAGCCTCAGTTTCCACATCTGTATAATGGGCCTGCCACCACCCCCCCCACTCCCCCACTTCACAGGGTTTCTATGAGGACTGAAAGAAGAAATGGGCACAAAATGCCTGACTTGCTCTCTGGTGCTTTGGAAGCACTTCCTGCTAATGATGTCAAAGGCTTATAGAGGGCCCACTATGCTCCAGGGTCTGTTCTTAGCACTTGGCTTATTAAAGTCCACCATCCATATCATAGGTTCCACATCCGCAGATTCAACCAACCGTGGATCTAAAATATATATTTTTTAAGTTCCAGTAAGTTCCAAATAGCAAAACTTGAATTTGCCACGCACTGGCAACTATTTACATAGCATTTACACTGTATTTACAAATACTGACATAGCATTTACATTGTATTAAATATTATTAGTAACCTAGAGATGATTTAAAGCATATGGGAGGATGTACATAGATTGCAAGCAAATACTAAGCCATTTTATACAAGGGACTTGAGCATCTGCAGATTTTGGTGTACGTGGTGGGAGAGGGTGTCTGGAACTCATCCCCTACAGATACTGAGGGACGGCTGTATTATCTCACTTAGCCCTCCCTGAAGCCTAGGAGGAAGGTACTATTAGTATCCCTATTTCACAGATGGGGCAAAGAGAGGCAGGTTGCTTTCCCAAAGTCACCCAGCCAAAAAGTAGCAGGGCCCCAGGGCTGTGCCTTGGCCATCATCATGCCTCTTGTTTGCTAGAGTAGTAGTAGTCACCGCTGTGTGGGATTTAGGGTCACACCTATTTTTGATTTCTGGTCTGCCACTACTTTGCTGTAAGACAGGACAAAAATCCCTGAGCCTCAGTTTCCTCATCTGTGAAATGGTAATAATAAAGCTCACCTCATAGAATTGAGAGGTCAAAACAATCCATGATTTCCGATAGTATGTTCTCCGTAAGTGGGAAGGCAAAGCCAGAGCCTGGGGCAGGTGGGGAGACACCGCCCACCCCTCCTGCCCACCCCCTCCTTGGCAGGGGGAAGACTGGCCTGAGGGACTCACTGCCCCATCCCTCCCTCCACTGCCCCATTCCTCCCTCCACTGCCCCATCCCCGCCCCAGAGGGTCCGGCACCCACCTCTTCATCTCAGCAGTGAGCCCGTTTTCCAGCAGGCCCAGCGCCTTCGGTGACAGGATGCCTTGGAAGTCAGAGTCAGCGGGTACGAAGGTGATCTGCAAGGCAAAGGGGAGAAGGCTTCTCTGCAGCTGCCCACACACATCCGTGGTCACTGCTCCCCCAGAGCACGGGCCTAACATCTCCACATACCCTAGGAGAGAGGCCTGACAAGGGAGGCCACCCCGTTTGACAGGAGGGTGCCTGCTCAGGGCCCAGCACCTGTGGCCGGCTGGACCTCTGGGCTCCTGCTCTCACTGGCTCTTCATTCACCCAGCACTCATGGAGCATCAGCTGTGTGCCAGGCACTCTTCTAGGCACTAGGGGTCAGCCATGAGTGAATGAGACGAACACCCCTGCCCTGGGGGAGGTCATATCTTGTCATTTCCAGGGGTCCTCATTCCAGTGCCCAGCACTTGCCCGACCCGGAGTAGGCCCTTCGTCCGCATCTGGTGAGTGAGTGGGAAGCAGTCCATGTGTTTCTTGGCACAGACAGAGGCTGCGGTGGGGAGGACAGAGAATTAGACGGCTGAGGTTGTGCCGACACTACTGAACTGTTCACTTCAAAATGGTTAGGATGGTAAATTTTATGTTATGTATATTTTACAATTTAAAAAGGTAGGACTAGTAATGCCTGTCTCCTGGATTCCATGAGATAACATATAAGGAGTACCCTAGCACAGAGCCTGGCACATAGTAGCTGCTCAGTAAATCATAGTTTGATGCTACTGAAGATGAAGTTACCTGACCTCCCTGAGTCTTGTTCTCCTCAGCTGAAAATTTGTTCAACAAATATGTGATGAGACCCTATTGTGTTATGCCGGGTTCATAAATAGCAGCTCCTTTTCTCCCTTTCCATAGAGTACGGTGAGAGAAAGACACTTGTCTGCACCAGGAAAGCACCCAATCCTGCTGGGGAGAAGGGAATGATAGATGGATGTGTTCTTAGAACTCCTGTGAGGGGTAAGCTTCCCCCAGATGTCTGGAAATGAGGGAGGGGCCTGGGTATCTTCCACACCCACTTAGTATGTCCTGCACTTGCCAGCTGACTCTGTACTTCCTAGAAGCTGCCCCTTCCTCCAGTCATCCTCCTTCTCCCCATCATCATAATCACCACCATCACCATCATCTCCATCAACATCATAATTATGATGTCATCACCATCACCATCATCATTATCGCTCTACAGCATCCTTATCATTGACACTGTGAAGAGCCTGGAGGAGAAGGAAAGTCCTGAGAATCTTACAACACAAGTTCTTCTAAGAAAGGGTGACAGGCAGAGTTGAAGCTGGGGAGGGGAGATCAGGTCATAAAGACCCCAGAGCATCAGGCTAAGAAATTCAGCCTTTAATCCAGAAGCAATAGGAGCCCTGGAGGAGTTCTCAGCAGAATACATAGCCAGATTTGTGCTCAGGCAGAGTTCTGAGCAGTCCCCAAAGGGAGGGAACAGAGGGATGGAGGGAGGCCCGTGGAGAGGACCAATCCATCAACCACCAATCAGGGGCCTGGTCCTGGGCTCCAGCAGAGCAGGCAGGAGTGGGGAGTGGGCGACTTGTAGGCAGAATCAGAAGCCAGACAGGGAGAGGCCCTGCTTTCCCAGACAATCCTTCCCCTTCTCCCAGTTCCCCTGCCCCATCTCAGCTAATGGGCACAGCATCCCTGACAGTCCCACCTGCTAGATTTGTCCCGATTCCTCCTTCCCTCTCAAGCCTGAGGCCCAGCTGGCCACCAAACCTGACCAAGTCTACTTCAGAAATTCAGTAAAATAAGCTGGATGGGAGGACCAGGGCCACGCCCAGCCACGGCAGGTACTATATGTTTGATGAACTGGAAATGTCTCCTCAGCTCCTACAGCCTTGAGTTCAAGTTCTGCCTTAGTCTAGGAAATGATCATCCTCCCTTAGACTGAGAAGGAGCCTCCCCCACTGGCCTGGTTGCGCTTGAACGTTCCCCCTCCCAGATGTCAGCCTGATAGCTTCCTCGAACTGCAAAGCTGCTCACAGCCGTCCCTCATCCCATCCACTAAAGGGTCAGGTCCAAACTCCTCAGCATGACATCCAGGTCCCGTGGACCCGAGCCCCACTCCCTTTCCGCCTTACTTCGCTCCCCACGCCCTCCGGCAGACAGGCTGACCCGCTTGCCTTGTTCTTTCACCTCATGTCTTTGCTCGTGCTGTTCCTTCTGCCTGGAATTTCTTTCCCCATCTTTTCTGCCTGGGGAACGTCTACTTAACCTACAAGCCCCAGCTCATCTTCCCTGTGAAGCCCACTCCCTCCCCATCAGGCAGAAAACTGTCTCCTCCATGAGACCCCCACGGCCCCAAAGACAGGGACAGCTTAATTCACATGGGTACTGGCTACCCCTTCCCCCATATCATAATCGGCTAATTCCATTCCCTTATGTTTATATTTTTTTCAATCCAGAAAATTCCCATTCGTCAGGCACTGAGACAGGGGAGGATCCAGCAGGGAGCATGGGCACCAGCATTTGCTGACGGCTCCGATGGCCCAGGCTCCAATGAGACAATGTGGGAGACTGGGACCCTCGTCTAGCACACCTCCCTGGTTTATGACACACTTCCCTCCCCTCCTTTAGTGTTCCAGCCCTAACAGCCTGCGTCCCTGAAACACACACCCATGTCTGTTCTCACACACCTGCACACATATCCAGAGACCCTCCCAAAGCCACAAACACCTGTCCTGAGAACGCTGCCTTCGCATTGGCTCCAGGCCAGGCGTGATGCCAGGTCCCCCACTTACAAGCCCCCACTGGCTCCTCCACAGGCCCGGGCGAGCCTCTGCCAAGGCCACAGAAGTGGGGCACAGGGAGGGGCATTTGAGTCAGGGCCTGGTGGGCACTGAAATCTGTGCCGTTTCTGACCCGCCATGCGGCCTCCACAGCACATGAACACTTGAATCTATCAACAGTTACTCATTAATACCCAGCAATATTCCCTCCTCCCCCCCTCCCGCCACTCCCTCATCCCCACCGCCACCCGGTCACTCTGCCTACTGCCCACAGCCAGCTCTGTGAACGGAGTGAGGCAGGAAGGACACTCCCCCCACCCCACCCCGGCCATCACCTTGCTGTCCCCCAGGGCCCTATTCTCCCGGTGACCTCTGCTCAGGACACTGAACAGAGAGAGGCGAGTTGACTGTAAACTGCTCGGTAAACGACCACAAACCAGCTGGGACCGCCTCAGTGCTGAATGAACGCGCTAACAGCCCGGGGCTTCCCACAGAGGAGACAGGACTGGGAGAGCCGAGCCCAGGCCCCCAGGATCCTCCTCCCTCCTCCCACACCCCAGCATGGACATCCAGGCAAGAGGCAAGGAGGTGTCTGAGCGTGTGAGGCTGCCTGGGGCCTGGAGCCCTGGATGGCGGGACCAGCAAGGCCCTTAAGATGCACCCTCTTTCCCGCCCCCTCTTCCTGAC